AGCAATGCATCTCCAACTATTCTTTTGAACTGGGAGCAAGCCTAATTCCTTTATTTTTCAAAGTTATAAACATAAAACTACACAGACACCACAGAATTTGCTTTAGGCTAGAAGTCTTGTGGATTGTATTTGTATAAGATGTTGACTCACAGTTATAGAAACATTAGAAGGACAAAAAGATTTAAATATCGAAGATATAGGAGATGGGAAAAATGCATTCCTAGCACAGGGCCTAACACATAACTCCAAAGCCAAACTCGCTGCCCCTGAGTGGATTCCTCAGAGTCACCTGTATAGAGCTTAAGAGCCTCGGCTTTCTCCCATGGAGAGGCTGGTAGGTTTGAACCACTAACTTTGCAGTTAGCATCCCAAGGCTCATCCGACAGTATCACCACTGTTCCTTTAAATTAACACACCAGACCCAAAAGCAAAGACCACTGCCATCAAGTCAGTTCTACCTTACCGTGACCCTGTAGGGCAGAGCCAATCTCTCCATGTGGTTTGACATTATAAATCTTCACAGGAGCAGACAGCCTCATCTTTCTCCTGTGGAGCAGCTAGTGAGTTTGAACTGCAAACCTCCTGGTTAACAACCTAACTCGTAATCCACTACGCCACCAGGACTTCCTAAACTAGCACACAGTGGATCCAAGGTACTATCTTTGGCAGAAAGGGAGTAGAGGGTAAATGCTTTTTCATCTCACTAGTCAAGCAAAATGAAAAAAACAATAGACTTTTGGAATATAGACTGCTTACTTAAAGGACTTGAGATTTAATTAGACAGATGTGAGCAGTAGAAAACAAGAATTGCTCAGATGACTACCACAAACACGTTTGAGCATCTTTGTGTGCCAGGCATTGTCTTAACCTTTGGGGATGTATGGTGGACAAAACAGCTCTGACCTGATGTGTAGTGAGTGACAGGAATCTGCTATGAGGTACCTAACGTGAGCCAGGGTAAAGGTAGTGAAGAAAAAGACAGTAGTTCTGTAAAAGCATGGAACAGATCCTGAGAGGGCTTCTGTGGTAGTTACATAATGTGGTGTCAGTTTGAGGATTAAGAGTGAAGAGGTGGAGTCTATCCTGTCAATCAGGTGATAGCCAATGAGGCCTCTGTGTGAGCATGGCCTTCTCCCGAGGATTCTGGGAACTCTGCTATTCCTCATGGGAGATGGGAGAGACTCTCTCTCTAGGCTCATCCTTGGGCGATGTTTCTGATGAGAAGCCACATGAAGCTACCCTGATGCAAACAGAGCTCTGAGAGCTAAAGAAATATTGTGGTGAACCCTGCCAGCACTGAGATGCTTATCATGCCGCTGGATCCACAAGACTTCCCACCCACTGGCCTGTGATCTTCCTGAATTTGGTGTCATTGCGTGTGTTTCATGATTCTGAAGAGGACTTTATAGATTGGTATCTGACACATGGGCTAATATCAGACTTACGGACTTGATCTGGACTGGGCTGGGATATTTTCTCAATATTCAATTGCTTTTATACAAAGGTCTTTCCTATACACATCAGTGACCATGAATTGTTTTTCTAGTCTATCTGGCCTAACACAGCTTCTCTGGGGAAGTGATGCTAGAACTTGGACATAAAGGAAAAGTGGAAGCATCCTTGTTGGAGAGGAGCCTGTGCAAAGGCTCTGGAGTATTGAAGGAATTTAAATGCAGCCAGAACCTTATAGTACGGAGAATGAGAGAAAGAGACATGATTAAGCGGCTATATGTTATTTCTGAAAGTTAAGAACCCCTAACCAGAGTACTGGGTGTAACTAGAGGAGAACGTGAATTTTCAGTGAGAGCCTGCCAGTGTAGTTACTTGGGGACTGTCCTCTCCTTGTTGTGGAATGATCTAGAAAATGCTCAAGAAAGGCCCCAGCAAGAACTCTTTCAGACTTTCTAAGGGGATGTGGTGTGTGGTGGAAATGTACCATGAAAGGGGAGAGCAAGACAGAACTTGGACTGGCCACCCACTGAAACCATGATACTGCTGTGTCTGGACGGGGAATTGAGCCTAGGGTCATGGAATATTCATTTTTAATTAAGATAAATATACACTGGTATGAGAAAATCACTTTGTTGCCTCTCCACATCCTTACAGGAAAAATTAAGGAGTTTTGAAGATGCTGTGGTAGGGACCTTCTGGCTCTAAAATATTCTGTGATCCTAACTTCTGAAAACAATCGATTATACAATATTTGTTTGGGAACTCAGTGCCTGTGTGCCTCATGCCGATCAATCCCAATTCTTTGAAAAACAGATCCAGTTTGCTTACCACCAATGGTAAAAAGCTTTCTTTGATGGGCTCCTGCACATCATTAGTTGGTTGTACTGTGGTGGCTTGTGTGTTACTGTGAAACTGGAAGCTATTCCATTGGTATTTCAAATACCATGAGGGGTCCCTAAAGTGATAACATTTCAGTAGCGATTCCAGATAAAGACAGCCTATAAAGGAAGTCTTGATGATTGGTTTTTTAAAACCAGACCAAACCAAAACCACCTGACTCGTGGAAGCCTCATGAACAACGGCAGGTCTGACATGGTGCTAGAAGAGGAACTCCCCGTGTTGGAAGGCACTCAGAATACAGCTGGGGAAGAACTCTGCCTCGATGACTGGAGAAGGCAACGCTCTGAGACCTTCTGTTATGCACAGTCCTGCTGTGAGTCAGCATGAACTCCATAGCAGCTAACAACAAAATGCATTGCCATTCACTTGCAAAGTGATGATTTTGAAACCCATGAGTTCACTGTATCCTCACGTCCCCTTTGAGCCAGCCTTGCGAATATGAACCTCTTGGCCAACAAGGTAGCCACCCAAGAGCCACGTGCATCTGTCTTAAACCTCTTGCCACTCATCACATACACCCTAGTGATTCTTCCATGGGCTTTCAGAATGCTTGCATGGCCCAAACTCAAACTCACTGCCACTGAGTCAAGGACAGTCCGTCCATACTGAGGCAGAAGAGTGTGAGTCTTTGTCCTCCAAGCTGCAGATGAGACACACTATAATGAGAACAGAACGGCACGGAACTAACAGATGACAGCTGCCTTAGTGAGCTCAGCAAAATGTGTTGTTGTTGTTGTTGTTGTTAGGGGCCTTCGTATACCATCACTTACGTCGTCTGAGTTGGAACCAACTTGATGGCACCTAACAACAACAATGGAACACAACACTGCCCCGTCCTATACTGTCCTCACGGTTGTTATGCTGCAAAACATATAGGCGGCAACAGATTGCGCAGCGCAGTTCCTGAATTGTAATTAATGAAGCACTTGCTCACAATTGCTGCTTTGAGTTTATTCAGATGTCTGTGTGTGTGTCACAGTCAGTATGTCTGTCTGAGGCTGTAGCTACTGGGGGGAAAAAGGTGGTGTGCATTTTTGAGGTTTTGCTTTTGAACCTTGTCCAGGATGACATCTTGTATCCTCCCAGTTTTTCATACATGCTCTTGAGTGGTGACGACAGGGTGCCTGGTTATGGCTGCAGCTCCCAGATGTTTCTGCTGCCCCTGCAGTCTCCCTTCTCTCTCGGTGAGCATGACAGCTGGCAGAGGGGGGCCAGGCCCCGTGGGCAGCAGAGGGAATTACAGTAAGAGGTGGCCTCGGCCCGGCCCTTTGTGTAGTCAGCAACCTCTCTGAGCGCAAGGGACACCTTCCAGGTCATTTGCTGCTGCCTTTGCTGCTTCCTCTGTAGGGTCTTTCACTTGGGCTGTAGTTCCATACAATGCCTTGAATGAAGGAGAACACGGAAGTACATGCTGCCAGAATTTCAGCTGAATCATTCCAAAGCTCTCCAAGTGAGAGCTGCGAATTTGAGCAGTTTCAAGTCAGGGGGGCTGGGAGCAATGGCTGCTCCGCCCTAATGAAGTGTGCGCTGTTTTTATGGTCAAAGGTCCGCAAAGGATTCTTCCACCAGTCTTTGGACCTGCTCCAGTCACACAGTGGGAGCTCTTGGTGCTCTTTGCTTTATTGCACTGGCTTTTTGTACGCAATTAGTAACGTTTTCCACGTAACATTTCAAGAGGCTTGTCCTGGCCTGAGATTGTTATAAGGCTAACTTCCCTGTTTAAACTAATGGGTTTTGGGGTTTTTTCCCCTTTTGTAAGGAGACTGAAATTGTTAAGTAACAGGTACTTTCAAATTGCACATAAACTTTACCCACACGATTTACTGCATGTGTGTACATTTCTGCCCAAGATCCTCTTTTCTCCCTCTCAAAGCGTGGTTCTTCATAGTGTACCATAAAGATCTGGAAATAAGGCTCCAACCTCATCCATTAAAACCCCAGATATGAAGGCAGTCATTGCAAATAAAATGGAAGCAATTTGTCTTCATGAACCAGCAAGAAAATGAAGCGTGTTGAGACTGCCTAAACTTCCCCTCTTAAAAAAAAAATCAAACCAACTGATATTGGATTGGCTTTCTCTATTTTTATTCGTTTCTTTAAGCCATCTGTTTGCTGGCCTCCATTAGCAAACAACAACAAATAAAATGTGTTTTGTTTAATTTCCTATGTTCATCAGTAAATTCATTTTCCCCTTTACTAAAATGATACCTTTGCCCAGAACTCCGTTTGAGAGTACTTGGGTCTTTCATGAAATAAGAAATCCGCATTAGTTAATGTTACTGGATTGGTCTTAGGCTGGCAACGGTGGGTGGATAATGGTTCATGCTTTCTCCTCCAAATTGGAGGGGGGTGGGGGCAGGGAGAGGCACAGATGTAAGTGAAACTTACAATGTCAGGAAGTAATTTTATTCCATTATTTTTTCTTGAAAATGAGGTAGTATCAGCCGGAAAATAGCCTTACAGGAGCCGTGAGCACCCATATGGAACTAACTGAATGCACAGGGGAGATGTAAACCTATTCCTTCCCAGCTTTCCCCTCGCCCCTGGCCCCATCCCTGCACCTCTGGGTCCTTCACCCCAATGAGACCTACTGTCAGTGGTCAGGAAAAGCTATCGGTGTTAAGCTCAGTGTCCATTTTTCCTGGTAGATCTCCCAGCTGATGACAGAGACTGGCCGAGAGGGGCTCACCGAAGCAGCGCTGAACCGCTACAATGCAGACAAGCCCGCAGCCTGCAGCGTCCCGGCCTCTCGGGGCCCCTGCGTGGCCAGCGAGCCTTCTTCCACAGGCACCTCAGTGGCTGCTTCATTCTTCGCCAGGTAAGAGCAAGCACCGTCGGCTCCACGTGTGGCCGTCTGGTTAGCTTTTCACATGGGCCAGTTTCGTGACAATATCAGAAACCGTTGCGAGCCAGTCACGTGTTATGTCAGAAAGCCCTTTTTCTCCGCCTTGGCACTGTGGCCTTTGGGGAGGCTGCCCTGAGCACTACAGGATGTATAAGAGCATCGATGGCTTCTACTCAGTAGATGCCAAGAGCACCTTCCTCAGTTGGGATCAAAAAATGGTTCCAGACATTACGGAATGGCTTGCGCTTTGAAACGCTGCTCTAGAAATGCGTAGCTCGAAGGATGGTCCCTCTTGCGTAGTGGACCTTTGGAGGTGAGGCCCAGTGATTCTGTTTCCAGACTGTGCTTCTAACAGAGTGAATTCTTAACATGAACTCCTCTCCCCTTCTTGGTCTACTAGGTAATGGTTATCCAATACTACCCAGCTAATCTTAGACACATTAAAAACACGGGAAGTATGCCAACAATGCTCTCTGCATATTTTTAGCGACAGTGCGTCGACGGACAGGAGACACAGGACAGCTGAGCAGGAAAGGGCGGCAGGGCGGTCTAATTCAATCCATGGCCTTTTGAAGAAGGCAACTGAAGACCAGAAAAGTTAAGCTCTGAGTCTCTTCATCGCACAGTCAGAAATAGAAGCCAGATTTCTCGCTTTGGTTTTGGTTTTGTCCCCTCTCTCTGTGTGTCCGTAAAGATTTCAGCTTTGGAAACCCTATGTGCCAATTCCACCCCGTCCTGCAGGGTCACTAGGAGTCAGTTAACTTGACAGCCATGGGTTTGGTTTAGTTTAGTAGTTAGAGTGGATTCCTGGTTATACATAGCCTGGTCCGAACCTGGGCCAGTAAAAGGAACCTTCTGGAGGAACTCATATCTATCTTCGGACTGCTTTTCTTGTCAAGCAGCCTGTCTGACTATTAAAAATCGTGCTCGTTTTTGTTGTTGGGGGGTGGTGGATGAAATGAGCCTCTGGAACAGTGGCATAGGAATCTACACGGGATAGGCAGCCCAGAAGACACTGTCAGAGAAGGGGACAGCAAATTAGCATTCTCAAGTATGTCTAGGCAGCGATTCAGCAGAGACCGTGTTTCCATGAAAGTATCCCGATGGAGAACAGTATCCCTCTGAGAACAAACCAGCTTCCATAAACTCAGTTTACATAGATCAGGAGACCTGAAAGCCTAAAACTCAATTCTGAACTTTGGAATCTTCTAATGTTCTCTGGTAAGAGCCATCCTGTCGTACCCAATTACCATGACGCATGGAATTACCTGCTTTCCTCAGCACACGGCAAGTACATGGGTGGTGGTGCTGCTGCTGCTGCGGGGGTCTTTCTGGTCGCTGACTTTGTCCGACGTTCTGGGGCTTACCTACAATATTGCGGTAATTAGTATTTATAAGCGTCTATGAATAATATCTTGGAGAATGACGTAGTAACTAAAGGAAAAGAAGGAGAAATGCATTTTAAATGGTTTCCCTTCAGTTAGTATTGTTCTAACTGGTAATCCAATTCTATGTAGAGGAAGTCTTTTAAAAAAATTTTTTTTTATTTGGGGCTTGTACAACTCTTATCACAATTCAAATGTCAAGCACATTTATACATTTGTTGCCATCATCATTCTCAAAATATTTGCCTTCTGCTTGAGCCTTTGGTATCAGCTCCTCATTTTCCCCCTCACTCCCTGCTCCTCCTCCCTCTCGAACCCTTGATAATTTATAAATTATTATTATTTTATCATGTCTTACACTGTCTGTTGTCTCCCTTCACCCACTTTTCTGTTGTCCCCCCCTTCCCTCCCCAGGGGATTATAAGTAGATTCTTGTGATCGGTTCCTCCTTTCTACCCCACCTTCCCACCACCCTCCCAGTATCGCCACTCTCACTACTATATTGTCTTGAGGGGTTCATCTGTCCTGAATTCCCTGTGTTTCCAGTTCCTTTCTGTACCAGTATACATCCTCTGGTCTAACTGGATTTGTCAGGTAGAATTAGGGTCATGATAGTGGAGTGGGGGGAGTATTAAAGAACTAGAGGAAAGTTGTATGTTTTATCGCTGCTACACTGTGCCCTGACTGGCTCATCTCCTCCCCACTACCCTTCTGTAAGGGGATGTCCAATTGCCTACAGATGGACTTTGGGTCCCCACTCCGCACTCCCCCCTCATTCACAATGATAAGACTTTTTTGTTCTTTGATGTCTGACACCTGATCCCATCTCTGTACAGCAATTCTATAAAGTAATTTTAATGCAAGTATTCACATAACTGTGTTAGTCTGGGTACTTTAGAGAAACAAATCCACAGAAACTCATGTATAAGAGAGAGTATTATATAAAGGGTAAGTGCACATCAAGAAAACATCCCAACCCAGTGCTGCCCAAGTCCACAAGTCCAACATTAACCCATATGTCCGACACCGATCCACAAAGTCCTCCTCCATCTCACAAAACACATGAAGGAGGGAATCCGAGTCAGTGAGCGTGTAAGCATCTCAGTGTTGGCAGGGGTCTCCACATGGCTTGCTCCAGCACCCAGGGCTGCATCAGGGTAGGTCCATGTGGCTTCTCCTCAGGGATGACTTGCAGGAAGTGAGCCTTGCCAGCTAAAGCACAGAACTGGCTAAGGCAGCTGCACCCTGGTCCGATCATCAGAAAGCAAGAGACCCGAGAACTAGAAAGGCGAGGCTCACCGAGCCATTTATCTCTCCGCCCTTCAATTAACCCACATGTGCTTATCAGCCAGGTTGGCACAATAAACTTGATCTCATAAACTAAGAAATATTGCACTTAAACAATGGACAACTATATTTATCTCATGTTCTATGAATAAAATGGGTAATATTACTGAGGATTCTGGATGGTCTGGTCTGGGAGGCGGCCTGCCTGTGCTGGGGGTGGGGGAGATGGCAACACCATCAGGGTCCTGCTAGGCGACATCAAGCCTAGTGACACCCCTGCTCTGGAGGATTTTAACCGACGTTCGCAATAAAGTGAGAATTGTTGACTTGACCTGAGCTCGCCCTGTGTAATTTCAAGTGTTTCCAGTCTGTTGCCATCTCTGCAGAATTGTGTGTCACAGGGGCTTATAGTTTTCCTGCAGACTTTACCTCTTATTATAGTGTTTGATGTATGTGTGTGTGTGTATGCAGTGTTTGGTGTGTGTGTAAAACGCATCTTTTGTAGTTTGTATTCTTTGAGACCACTACTTCCCCCCAAATTCGATTGAGATCTTGGGGTGAATATACATGCAGGGTATTTTCAATTACTGAGGATTTCTATGTAAATTCCCTTATTTTCTGAATGCATAGAGAGGCCTTTAAATTCCCGTGCACAGGAGTTTGATTGCTTCAGATTACTCATTGTCTTCGAATCTTTTGTTGTCTGTCCTTTTCTCATTATTGGGCCCATCTCAAGAGTTAGCTCTTTCTCGCTCTTCCTCGTTGTTTTTCCAGTAAGAGAGTTCCAAAACACAAATAAACCAAAACTCCTACTACGGAGATGCTTCTGACTTCTAGATCTCGTAGGGCAGAGCAGACCTGCACCCGTGGCTTCCGGAGACTGTAAACCCTGTGGGACTAGAAACCCACCTTTCTGCAGCAGGGTGGCTGATGGGTTTGAACTGCTGACCTTGTAGTTAGCAGCCCAATGCTAGCCCACTATGCCACCAGGGTTATTTTGTTCCGATTTACTCTCTTCTTGGATATTCTGGTCTGTACATACTTTTTTAAAATTATTGATTAAAGGTGTGTCTATTCTGGGCTTGGGATTTTCCTGTCTAAATGTTGGTGTTCATTTCAACATAGGGTCCCTGTCAGATCTGTGTCTGAGATCCACTTGCTCTATTCTCTCTCTCTTACATACCATGCTCTCCCGTATCTCCTTCCACCCAGTCCTGCAAACAGAACAAGGGGCTCTTGAACAATTTAACGTCAGGAAAGGTATGTGTCCGTGGTATACCATCTCGCCATACTTATTTAATCTGTATGGCCATTAAGCAATCTGAAGAAGAGCATATCATGAGGAAGACCTGTTAACAACCTGTGATATGCAGATGATACAATCTTAACAAGCTGTGATACGCAGATGATACAATCTTGCTTGCTGAAAGTAAGAGAACTTGAAGCATTTGCTGATGAGGATCAGAGACGCCATTCAGGGTGGACTCGGTGTAAAGAAAGCAGACATTCTTCCAACTGGACCGATAAATAACATTGTGGTGAATAGAGAAAAGATTGAAGCTACAAAGGATTTCGTTTTAGTTGGACCCACAGACTGCATGGGCTAGATCTGCTGCACAAGACCCGTCTAAAATGTTCAAGAGCACAGACGTCACTCTGAGGACTAACGTGCTTCGCACCCAAGCCATGGCCTCAGGTGCATGTGTAAGTTGGAATAAAGAAGGCCACAGAAGAAATGATGTTTGAACCATGGTGTTGGTGAGGAATATTGAAAGTACATGAACTGACAAAACAACAGACAAAACTGTACCGGAGTTCGACTGAGATGCTCCTTAGAAGGTAGCATGGCCAGCCTTTGTCGCATGTACTTTGGACATGTGATCAGGAGGGTCCAGTCCCTGGAGAAGGACACCAGGCTTGGTAAACCAGAGGGTCAGTAAACCCAGAAGCAGACCCTCAATGAGTTGGCCTGAAACAGTAGCGACAACAATGGACACAAACACAGGGATGATGGTGAGATGGCTCAGGACCAGCAGCTGTTTCGTTCCATTGTGTACCGTGTCACTTTGAGTCAGAACCTACTTCAAGGCACCTGACAACAATGAATCCTCCAGTTCCCTGCCTTTTGCTCAAACCCCTTTCCCCCCAGCAACCCATGGCCACCAGTCAGTTCTGAGTTACACTAACACAGTAGAACTGCCCCGTTGCGTTTCCAAACGGAATGTTTCAGCTTTCCTCTGAGCAGCATCGGGTGGCTTCAGTTGCTGACCCTGCTACCGAGCCCCTGGTCCTTTCTCAGGTATGTTGTATTTTTGTCTGTCTTTCTCGTGTGTGATTTCTGCAGCCTTTGTTTTGAAACCCCTCCTATATGACCTGGGAACTTTTCCCAAACCTCTTGAAAATGTCACTGTTTATGACTGATTTGACCAGTGTCCTCTTGAGACCAGAGATTGCTTCTACATCTAAACAGACCAGCTCCAGGGTCAGAAGTTGATGGAACTGGGAGGGCAGACACTTGACCGCGAGGCCGTGCCTTTGAGACTACACTACTCTTCTCATCAACTACCTGGTGGAACCTCGTCTTGGAAGAAGCACAGTCATGCCACTGTGTATACAGCTCATACCGCTCCAGGGAAGGTCCTGTCTTAAAAAGCCATTTTTACGAACTTGCTGACAGCCAACTTAAATAGTGCCTTGTTGACAAAATGCATTTCATATATAATCTTGTACAA